TGTACCTAACTAAATTTATTCCATGGACAACAAGGCCCAGAGGCGCAGGGTGCTTACCTGCACTCTATAAGTGAATTCCAGCGGTATTAAACCCTAAGCAGGAGGTGCTCGTTCGACTCGAGCCTGGGCAATATGCACGGCCGCTGTCCTTTTGGTGCTGTCAATTGTTTTTTAAACACCTGACGTGAGAGCTCGCCTCGAGGCTTGTCCAAACCCAGTCGAACGTGCCTCCGTCATTTTTCCTTCCCTGTGGTGGAAATTCGGAACGCACCTAACGAAGTTTATTTTGTGGATAACAAGGCCCAGAGGCGCGGGGTGCGCACTTGCATTCGTTAAGGGTTGTTCTCATGAAGGATGAAAGTGAGAGGAGCTCGTTCGACTCGAGCCTGGGCCATTCGTTGAATCGGAATCCTCTCTTTTTGGTGCTGCCAATCCACTTTCCGACGCACCTGAAGTTCTGTTCATAGGAGGCTCATGACACCAGCGCAGCGTGCACATGTACATGGATTCGTTGAGCAAGAGAGCTCAGCTCGGGCCTGGGGTATTCAACTGTGCATTCATCCTTGGTGGCTGGAACTGGGAACACACCTAACTAGGTTTATTCCATGGATAACAAGGCCCAGAGGCGCATGGGGCGCACCTGTACTCCATGTTTATTGAGGGTCATGTTAAGCAAGAGATGTGTGTTCGACTCGAGCCTGGGCCATTCTGGAACCAAGATTATCTTTTTTTTTTCTGCCAGTTCATTTTTCGACGCACCTACTAGTTCAAGGTCGATTCGGGGGAAATAAGGCCCAGAGGCGCGCGCGCAACTGCGTTCAGTGTCCGTAATGCCTGGGAGATGAGGCTCGAGCCTGATCCATCCGACTGTGCAGTCAGCCATCCTTGGTGGCTCGAATCGGGAACACACCTAACTGGGTTTATTTCCTGGCTAATTTATGCTGCGTCGTCGAAATTTCCAGTGTATCTACCCAGGTCGATTTCCTGGATACAAAGGCCCAGGGGCGCAGGGTGTGCACCTACATTCATTCATAGATCTTGTGAAGGATGAAGGCAGGAGGTGCTCGTTCGACTCGAGCCTGGGCCATTCATCGTCGGAACTGCTCGGCACTCATTTTTTTTTGTTTCTAGCGTTCAACACACCCTAACCAAGTTTCCTCCATGGATAACAAGGCCCAGCAGCGCGCGGTGCGCACTGCACTCCATAGTGATTTATGTAGGTCTCAAGCCAAGCAGGAGGTGCTCGTTCGACTCGAGCCTGGGCCGTTTCCATCTGGCAACGTTCGCACTTTTGTCCTCCTCCGAGCCGATTTATTTCATTTTGAGCACACTTGGTCCTGGGTCCTGAGCAAATTGGTCGGAGATGCGGAGGAAAACTGAATTTGGTGTAGACCAAAAGCCGGGAGCAGAAGAGAAATCTTTGCAATAATACAACTGAAATCCTGGATCGACCTCCAAAAAGACCAGAAAAACACACAGCTTGCACAGGAGTCAGTATGTTTTCCGCGAGTCGTGGTCGTTGAATGAGCGCGTGGCAAATTGGCGCCGACTCCCACGTCACGGGCAGATTTGCGTTGTCACGCTCCACCTTTCTCGTTTCCCTCCGACTCCTGGGCCCAAGATGATGACCCGCACCCGCTACGTCGTCCTCGCCCTCGCTATCATTGTGCGTCCCCTCCCCTCCCCTCGAATCTCTGTTCCACAGCGCTGACTTGCCGCAGATAAGTCTGCACTACATCCTGAGCTTCTCGCACGAGGGCTACGGCAATGCAACGTCGTTCGAGGCGCTGAGCAGCAAGTTCAATTTCGGCGGGCAGGGGCCGCCGGGCCCGCAGGACGGCAAGGTGTGGCACGAGCCGCCGTACAAGACGCCTGTGCCCGAAAAGTACTACCTCCAGCCGAACGGCACCATCACCCGCAAGGCCAACGCCGCCATCGTCATGCTCGGTGCGCCGTCTGTTCTGTTGCTTTCCTGAAGGCTTATTTGACTTTGGCGCAGCACGCAACGGCGACCTCGGCGGGATCGTGAAGAGCATGACGCAGCTCGAGGCAAAGTTCAACGCGCGCTTCGGCTACCCCTACGTCTTCCTCAACGAGGAGCCCTTCTCGGAAGAGTTCAAGCGCGCCGTGTCCGAGCTCACGCAGAACACGCTCGAGTTCGGGCTGATCCCGCACGACCACTGGTTCCAGCCGCCCGAGATCGACGAGGCGCGCGCGGCCGCCGCAAGGAAGGACATGGTGGACCACGATGTCATTTATGGCGGTGCGTCCCTGTGTATGAGGAGGATGTAACGAGGGCTGACGGGGGATGGTCTTGGGGGCAGGCAGCGTGCCGTATCGCAACATGTGCCGCTTCAACTCGGGCTTCTTCTACCGCCACGAGCTGCTGCAGAAGTACCGCTACTACTGGCGCGTCGAGTGCGTCTTTCCCCTCCTTCCCTCTCTTTCCCCTGCTCTTCCCCCTACTTTTTCACCCCACTCACCGCCCGCAGACCCGACGTCCGCTTCTTCTGCACGCTCGACTACGACCCCTTCCTCTTCATGCAGGACGAGGGCAAGAAGTACGGCTTCACAATCGCGCTGCCCGAGTACGAGCGCACGATCCCCACGCTGTGGGCCGCCGTGCGCGAGTTCGTCGCTGCGAACCCGGAGCTCGTCGCGCCCGACAACGCGATGGGGTTCTTGAGCGACAACGGGGGGGAGAGTTATAATAACTGTCATTGTGCGTCTTCCCTCTTGAGCGACGCGGCGCCGAGCCGCATGAGGACGAGACGCTGACGGACCATAGTCTGGTCGAACTTCGAGATCGCGGACCTCGACCTGTGGCGTGGGGAGGCGTACACCAAGTTCTTCGATCACCTCGATGCCAAGGGGGTGAGTCGTCGTCTGCTTTTTTTGCCTGTCCCCCCCGTGTCCCTGCGTACCCTTCTTGATTCTCCACTTCTGCTCCTACCGCACGCTGGCCCCGCCTTTCCTCCACTGCCCTTCACTCCCACCCCAACGTTCCCCTGCCCCGCCTGCCCTCCACTCCGTCCTTGCCTCAATCCCCCCACCGCCCGTCCGCGTCTGCCCCTCCACTCCCGTCCTGCCCCGTCCTCTCCTTCGCTTCACGACCCGCCACTTCCCCGTACGGCCGCGGCGTCACAGCCTGCCGTTTCCTCCTCCGCACCCCCGCTCCTCCGCACGTCACACGTCCCCACCCCCGCTCCTTCACGTCCGCCGCTCCTCCCCGTGCCGTCTCGTCGTCTCATCGACCTTCCCTTCCCTTCCCTCCCCCGCCTTGTCTTTACCCCCACCCCCACCCGTCCAGTGCTTGGTCCGCTTTGTCCACGTCACGCCCCCTTGTCCACCATCCCCCTGCCGCTCCTTCCACGCCATTCGTCCCCCGCTGTCGCCTTGTTTCCACGGCACGGCCCCACCCCTCGTCCTCTTCATTCGCGTCCCGTTCCACCGAGCCCGCCCCGCCCCTCCGCGTCCCTATCCCCATCCCCCCCCAGTCTTATTGCCACCCCTTTCGTCCCCTCCCGCCTTGTGGCCTCCATTACCTCATCGTCCCTACCCTCATCGTTCCCGTTCCCGTTCCCGTCCGCGTCCCCATCCCGTCCCATCCCGTCCCATCCCTCCCCCCGCCCGACCTCCTATCCCCTGCCCTTCCTCTCGACGCCTCTCCATCCCTCCCCGTCGTCTTATTTCCGCCCCCGTCTCTTCTCGTCCCCGTCCTCGCCCGCGTCGTCCCCGTCCTCGCCCGCGTCGTCCCCGTCCTCGCCCGCGTCGTCCCCGTCCTCGCCCGCGTCGTCCCCGTCCTCGCCCGCGTCGTCCCCGTCCTGCCTCCGCCACCGTCCCCGTCCCGTCCCCTCCTCTTCCTCCTCTTCCTTCTTGCCCTTCTTCCCCTGTCCTCCCCATCTACAACCAACACCGCTAACCACCCCGCAGGGCTTCTACTACGAGCGCTGGGGCGACGCGCCCGTGCACTCGATCGGCGCCGCGCTCTTCGCGCGCAAGGACCAGATCGTGCGTCGTCTCTTTCTTTCATCTTTGCATTGGGCGAAGTGGACGAGGAGCGTTGGACGATGGGCGGGGAACGTTGCCCGTCGTTCTTCCACTTCGTCGGCGTTCCGTTCGGCGGGGACGAGGAACGGTGGGCGCGGAACGGGTTCCGCGTTCTGCTTTCGTCGGCGTTCCGGTGGACGAGGAACGGGTTTCGGTTTTGGTTTCTTCGTTGCTCATTGCTCGTTGCTCGTTGCTCGTCCCCCCTCCCCCGCGTTCCCCCGCCCCTTCTGTACCCCCACTAATATGGTACCCCTACTAACCCCCATCCGCCCCTCCAGCACTTCTTCGAAGACATCGGATACCGCCACGAGCCGTTCCAGCACTGCCCGCAGGCGCCCGCGCACGGGCGCGGCCAGTGCGAGTGCGATATCACGAATAATTTCGGTGCGTTTCCTGCCTTCTTCCGCGCCTTCTTCTTCGTGTACTGCGCGTGTCTGTCCTTGGCTGCCCGTGTCTGCCCCGTGCTTCGTGGCTTCCCCTTCTCCTTCGCCGTGGCTTTCTCTCGTCGTGGGGAAGACAAGGACAAGGACGCGGCGTGCGGTCCCGCCCGTACGAAACGCATGCTGACCGCCCCCCACAGACCGCGAGGGCTGGTCGTGTCTGAATCGGTACGACCGTATATTCACGTAAGCGGCTGGACGCCGCGTCGGGCGCGGGTGGGGGGTAAAACGTGCTACTATGGGCAGGAGGAGAGGAGAGGAGATATTAGCGCGTACTATGAGAGGAGCGATACCAGTGTAGGAGGGGTAGGACATGGACACGGTGCTGCGGCGGGTGGTGGGGAGAAATGGGGAGATGGGGACTCGGAGGGGAGGATAGGATATGCGCGCACATGCAGTAATTATTTGTATTATTTATGGAGGGGCGCTGAGAGAAGGAGTAAAGGTATTGCTTTATTTGGACAAGACGACCCCGGCGATCCTCACCGCTGCTCGGCGAACGCTCCCATCGGCGTCATAGCTCAGTTGGGAGAGCAGCAGACTGAAGTAAAAGTTGAAGGCAGCGTGATCTGAAGGTCCCGTGTTCAAGCCACGGTGATGCCATTGCTTTTTTGCGTTCTCTCTGGTCTCTCTTTAAATTATCTCTCCTTTTCGTTTTGGCCCGTATTAGGTTCGCTCCCTCCTCTAAACTGTCTGTGACCCTCCAGTTCGTTGGCCCCGGTCGAGAGTGCCGTCTCGAAGAGCGAGCGAAGGAAATGTGGGTGTGCCTAGCACATACTGACTCTAACCGAAGTTGTGACTTGTCTGTGGTCTGAAGAATATTATGCGGATCGGATCTGCGACGAGGAGGGAAGAACGGATTCTTTCTTTCTTTCTTGCGTTGCGTCACCAGTGGTCGCACGGAGGAATTCTCCGGCATATTTCTTCTACAGCTCTGGTCAATTGGCTCTGAGCTCAGGACCCAGGTGCGCGAAATAAGATGAAATGAAATGAACGGGCTCGGAGGAGGAAAAAAAAAATGCGGGAAGCGGGACGACATTCGAATGGCTGGCTCGCCTGCGAAGTTGACTTGGTGCGTTTAGACAACTGACGGACGAAAAAACTATGAGGTGATGTACGAATGGCCCAGGCTCGAGTCGAACGAGCACCTCCTGCTTAACACCCTTGCCAACATTCCATGGAACGCAGGTGCGCACCCCGCGCCTCTGGACCTTGGTTCGTATGAAATTGACTTGGTTAATTAAGCGTGTTGCAACTTGGAATGAACTAAGAATGAACTGACAGGCGGCAAAGTATACACGAAGGAATAATGTCCCAGGCTCGAGACGAGCCCTCCTTTTCAACGAAGATGTAGCTAAGCAGTGCATATGTTTCCTGCCAGTGTTCTTTAGGTGCGTCGAAACAACGACTGACAGAAGTAAAAACAGCGTTCAAAATTCTGATCAATGGCTCAGGCTCGACTCGAACGAGCACCTCCCACTTTCTTTCTTCCTCACAACGGCACAACGAATGAATGTAGGTGCGCGCCCTGCGCCTCTGGGCCTCTTGCCTCTCAAAAAATTAGCTAGGTGCGCTCAAAATTCTCCAAAACAAAATTCACCAAGGCTTGAGGCGAGTCGAACGAGGACAGTTTTGAGTTCACTTTAAGTTGTATTGAAGTCTGTCTTCCGCCTTCTGTTACCCAAAGGGAGAAGATTTTACATCGGCGTCATAGCTCAGTTGGGAGAGCAGCAGACTGAAGTAACTTGGAATCTGAAGGTCCCGTGTTCAAGCCACGGTGATGCCATTACTTTTTGCTTTTTCCACCGTACTACTTAGTAATAGTAGTAGTAGTAGTAATAGTACCAGCCTTTACTCAAGTCACTCGGTATCACGCTTTAACACATTTGGCGCTGAGGCTGAGCAATGAAAGCCGACGCTCAGAGCGAAAGATATATAACCAATCCAAAACAACGTTGAAACGGATGTCTCCCTACTCACCACTCCGTCCCGACGGGACCCTCCGCAAATAATCAAGAACAGCCGTCCATTGTCCCAGCTCCTTCGCGCGCCCATCCGTGCGGGTCTGTTCAAATTTTAGTAGCACCGCGGCCACCTCCCGCGGAGCGACCCCCATAAACTCCACCCTCGCGTCCGCGCCGCCCTCGAGCAACGCCGCCACGACCTCGAGGTTACAGCACAGCGTCGCCGCCCACAACGGCGTCCCCAGGTCGGGGTGGAGGTGATTGAGCGCCGCGCTGACGGGGGCGCGGTTCGTCGCGTCTGATAGGATGCATGTAGTCATTTCACCCAGTAGGAGGGCCTCGGTGTCTGTTCGTGGGGGGAAGATGGCGGCGAAGTGGAGAACGGAGAGGGCGTTGGTTGGGTCGACTGTGGAGGATGGCAGTGCCCGCAAGGGAAGAGGATGGGGGCCAGCAGCACTCGGACGCGCCTCCGCGCCAAGCAGATACTTCACCGCTTCCAAGTTCCCCTCCGTCGGATTTCGGACGAGCTCGCCCAGAACCGTAATCCGCGCGCACCTCGGGTCCAGCCGATACGCGAAGTCGATATCCGCGCCGTTCAGCAGAAGGAGCTCCGCGAGCGCGAAGTTCTGGTGTATCACCGCGAAGGCGAATGCAGAGCGCGGTCCGTCACAGTCCGGTGGAGGATCGACGGGGACACCCATCTTCAGTAGGTATTCTGGGATGGAGATGCCCGTGCGGGCTTGGGGAGGGGTATCCGCCGAGACCTGGAGCAAGGACAGTTGAGAATGATCCGGCCGCGTAATTATCATGTGGATATTGGCGCCGTACTTGACGAGGAGGCGGAAGAGGGGATCGTGGTTGAGTCTCACGGCCTCGACAATGGGACATGCGTGTGGCGAGCCGTGGACGGAGTATCCGAGCCGGAGGAGGGACTCGACGACGTCGAATTTGCCTAGCGAAACCATGCGGGCTACGATGGAATGTCTGGCACGGGCGCGAAATTCATCACCCTCCTGTGCCGGGGCCGTCGATTCCCGCGCGTGCAAAATCTGGAGCGTTTCGAACATCGCGGATCTGTAATCTGTGCCGCACCGACTGAGACGACTCTGCAGTGAGGTCGGGTCCACGGCGGGGAGCACGAATTTTCCGACCACGATGTGGAGCATTTGGGCAGCAGAGAGCACCGGTGTTTCGGTATCCACGTACAGCAGCAAGATCTCGAGGATCCGCGGGAGGGTTAGGAAAGCCGCAACGATGACTGCGCATTGAAACTTGTCGGCAAGTAGTTGAGGATCGAACCCTTCCAATGGATCCGCGCCCAGGGAGAGGAGGGCGCTGACGGCGGGGATGCTCTGCATTATGACGGCGCGCGAGAGAGGGGAAACTGGAAGGGACAATAGGCTTTCCGGGTCCGCCCACACCGAGGGAGTGTGCAGCCGGTGTCGTCGCTTTTCGGGGTGTTGAGACAGGTACGCCCCAGCATCTACCAATTTGCGCGCAATAACCGACGCGTCCTTTGCAGCGAACGAACACAACCAATACAGCGGCGTCTCCTCGCCCCAGTCGGACCCATCCGGCCGCGCACCCTGCTCCAAGAAGAACAGCGCACAGTCCAGGTGCCCGCCACGGCATGCGGCGAGCAGAGGCGTCTCGGACTTCGCCTGGTTCTCGAGATCGATGTTGGGCTGGTAGTTGGCGACGAGGTGCTGCAGCGCCGGCAGGTTTCCCATCGACGCAGCGAAGTGGAGCAGCCCGTCGCCCCGATGGTTGACATAAATCTGGTCAACGGACGACACCGCTCGCAACGCGAACTCCGCCTGAATGTCCCGGTCCAGGGCGTCCATGTCGTTTAAATTATACAACCTGCGCCGTTTGCTATGGACAAAGTACGGCATGCCGACGCCTGCGCTCACGCGCAGAAAATAGTAAGTGTAGGAACAAAGAGCCTCCCGCCAAACGCGTTTGTCGTCCTTGTTGGTGAGACGGGTTATGATCTGCTGCGAGTCGGCGATGCAGCGCCGGTGACCGCGGAAGATGGCGAGCATCATCCATTCACGAAGGACAGAAAGCTCGACGCGAAGCGGTTGGCCCAAGGCCTGGTGGATACGCCAACACCACGCCTGCGCCAGGTAGTTCTCCTGACACTCGTGCCGAGAGACGGCGGCCTGGCGAAGCCAGTAGCACGCCCGCTCCGCATCGAATTCCACGCCAAATTCATAGAGGTAGCTCCTGAAGAGATAGAATGCGGCGAGACCCGGTGACACCTGGGTGCTCCATGTAGCAGCTGGAGCCACTGCCGCGTTCTCCAGATCCCGGACTATCTCAACCTGGAGTGACCAATCCAATGTTGCCTTCAGTCGCTCCGGGTAAAATAAGAGCTGGTTATATGTGAGTACAATGATAGACGGACAAGGTTGATATCTCACTTGAGCTGGATCTGGAGGAGGCAGCTTCGGTGTGGATCCAGGGCTGAGAAAAACGGATGATGAGTGCCTAAAAGTAAAACTAATGTGTGGAGACCGTACCCCGCACTCTGATAATCATGATCATATTCATGGCTGGCTTTCGCTAGGAAAAGTCCTATGGAGGTGGTGGTGGTTCCATGCGCACCTGTCAATAAATTTGAGTACAGTTTGGATCGCGAGGCGAGGACGAACCCTAACGGCTGAAATGAGCGAAAGAAGTCAAAGGATTTAGATACATACCGGAGCCCGCGCGGATACATCTGCTTGTGAGTGCTCATTCTGTTGTTCCACAGACGCAATCAAACCATAAATTTCCGGGAGACTGCAAAGTGACTCAATAATGCGGAGACCAAGGTTTAACAGGCACTCACTGGCGGACCGACAAAGCAGCAGTCGTTTTAATTAAGCACCGACGCTCAGAGGCAACCTGGAGAGTGTTCTCGAGAACGAAATTCATAATCTCCCTCTCATCTTCGGCTACGTCCGGCACAAGGCGATCGCTGACGCTCTCCTTAGCAATCGCAAGAAGTTCATCAAAGCGTTTCAAATCCTCGATGCCATCGGGCGTGCAGCCAGTAAATGGTGAAATATCAAACGGGCTTTCCCCGTCGAGGACTACTCGCCAGACAAGAAGGCCCAATGAGTACACGTCCGTGCGCTTCAGGCCCTCCGCATCGAGCCCGTTCGCGGCCTCCGGCGCATTGAATGACGGTGTTCCAGAAGGAAGGAATCGGTCGGCACCCTCCTGTATATCCATCGCACTGCCCCCAAAGTCTGCCAGCTTCGCCGTGTATGGGACCTCGGCGTCTTTGACCTTGTTCGTGAAGATGAGGACATTCTCGTGCTTGAGATCCCCGTGGACGATATCGCACGCATGGAGGATCGCGAGGCCCTTGGCGACGTCCAGGCACAGCTTCTTCTTCACCCCAAACGTGAAAGGGCTAGCGCTTGCTTGCAGCTGCGTCAGCGTTCCGAAATCGGCGTATTCGAGAACGAGAACCGGGAAGGTCGACCGCATCCCAGGAGCGGCGCCCCAATACAGTCCAAGCAGTCGGACAATGTTGGGATGATATCGGATGGGCTCGTGCAGCAAGGCGCGGATTTCCAGCAGAATCTGCTTCCAATTTGCGACCTCCCTGCGCTTCTCCGCCCTCCGGATGTACTTGAGTGCCACAAAACTTCCCCATCCTTGTTTCTGGCCAATGCCAGCGATTGCGGTCTCCCTCCATCCTGCGCGTTCGACCGTAAAAGAGGCGCCTGATCCGATCGCAGCTCGAGGAGGGGGGAAAGAGGTGCTGAAGTCGAAGAATACAAGATCGGCTTTCAAATTGGCCTCAAGCCCGGCAACTAGGAGGATGAACGAGGCAATTTGACCGGTGTAACCATTCGAAGAAGCGCTGGATTCAGACGTAGCCCGCTCATCAGCATTCGAAGAAACGGTGGCAAGAGGGTTGCTGAATGCTGAAGGATAGACCAAGGTGCTGGTGGTCGCCATTGTCGAGTTAACAGAGCAACGTTCCTCGATATTTGTACGGCACCGTCGACCGATTGAAGCGCGCTCCCTTAATTTAAGATAGTCGACAGCGTTACGTGTTACAGCCGCCACCGCAGCCGCGTCTCACCGGCGATGCTAGTACTGCCCGACAAGGTGATCCTAGTGATACAAGAGCAGCTCCGCAGATTAAATGCTGCCTGTAAATCATCGAATGCTGCCAGAATGAAACTGTACAGTGTCCTTGAGAAATGGTCATGGCTGGAGAGGTTAAGAGAGGTTAAGAGAGCTCAAATCACTGGATCGATCAACTACATCAAAGTGCCAAGCATTCGTTCCTTCCTGGCTGTCATGTTCCTTCAACGCAACCGTTCAGGTACAGCAAGGGACAGCTTCAGTTACCTAGGTACTATATGCGCGGCCAAGCGCCATTAGTGCGGCGCATTGTGGGCCATAAATCCCCTTCAGGCTCTCGGTACGCGCGCCACCCTGAGCGCGCCACCTCTTATTTGCCACAAGCTAACACCGCGCACCTTCAGACTCCTCTCTCATGGAAGTCGCACTCCCCGTCATTAGCTTGCTCGGACAGTGCTACAGCGGAGCGCTCCAGGCGTATATCTGGATCCAAACCGCCGTCGAGTTTCCGGATACAGCTGCAAAGCTCGTACTCCAGCTGGAGGTCGAGCGTATTCGATTACAGCTCTGGGGACGAAACTCGGGCGCTGATTCCGACGCGCTATATCCCGGGCTCGTCCCCTTCGAGCCCTTGATTTTCGACATTCTAACCAAGATTACCCAGCTCCTTCGTGACTCTGACAAGCTCAGGGACAATTATGGGCTAGTTAGCAGCATGGACGACGAGACC